ACTAGCATAGGGATTAACACAAAGATCACTGGAATAGAAACCCATATATCTATGGTCTATTTATTTTTGACTAGCATGTCAAGACCATTCAATGGGGAAAGAATAGTCTTTTCAACAAGTGGTGCTAGGACCACTGAACATTCACATGCAAATAAAGTTGAACCCCTACCTCATGGCATATACAAAAATTAACTCTAAATGGACCACAGACTTAATTTTGAGAGTTAAAACTAAAAAACTTTTAGAAAAAAAGTGTAAATCTTAGTGACTGAAATAGGCAACAGTTTTACAGACATAACACAGTATAAACAACCAAAGAAAAAGTAGATAAGATGAATTTCATCAAAATCAACAACTTTTGTGCAAAGGACACTATCAACAAAGTGAAGAATGGACCAGGTGTGGTGACTCACACTTGTAATCCCAGCACTTTGGGAGGCCAAGGTGAGAAGACTGCTTAAGCCCAGGCGTTTGAGACCAGGCTGGGAACATAGAGAGACCTCATCTCTACAAAAATGAAAAAATTAACCAGCTGAGGTGACAAAGGCCTGCAGTCTCAGCTACTTGGGAGGCAGAAGTGGGAGGATCCCTTGAGTCCAGGAGTTTGAGGCTATGGAGAGCCACTGCACCACTCCAGTCAGGATGACAAAGTGAGGCTCTGCCTCAAAGAAAAAAAAAAAGAAGGAAATATTTGCAAAGAATATCTGAGAAGGGCCCAGTACCCTTAATACACTTACAACTCAGTAGTGAAAGGCAAGTAACCCACTTTAAAAAAAAAAAAATACAGGCAAAGGATTTGTACAGATTTTCCCCAAAGGACAAATGGCCAACAAGCACATGAAAAGATGCTCAACATCATTAGTCACTGGGGAAATGCAAATCAAAACCACAATGAGACACAAACTGATAATAACTAAAATGGCCAGATCAAAACGAAGGAGAAATAAGTTTGCCAAGATGTGAAGAAACTGGAATCCTCATACATTGCTAGTAGAAATGTAGAAAAGCGTGTGGAAAACAGTTTGGCAGTTATTCAAAGGTGAGTGGATTGCCTGAGCCCGCGGGTTCGAGACCCGCCTGAGCAGCGAGACCTCATCTCTACAATAAATCAAAAAATCAGGCGGGTGTGGTAGCGCGCACCTGTAATTCCAGCTACTTGGAAGGCTGAGGCGGAAGGATCGCCGGAGCCAAGCAGGTCACGGCTGCGGTGGCCGGGAGCGGCCACTGCACTCCAGTCTGGGCGACCGAGTGAGACTCCAACTCAAAAAAACAAAAACCGAAAGAAAAAAAAAAGCTAAACATACAGTTACCATATGACCAAGCAATTTCACTCCTAGTTACATATTTAAGAGAACTGAAAATTACACACAAATGTACACAAATTTGTAGACATTTGTACACAAATGTTCAGAGCAGCAGCATTTTCATAAAAGCCAAACAGTAGAAACATTCCAAATGTTCATCAATGGATGAATAAATGTGGTTTATCCATACAATGGAATATTACTCAGCAGTAAGAAGGAATCAAGTACTAAGATATGCTGCAACAGGGATGAACCTTTAAAACGTTACACTAAGTGCATTTCCAAATTCAAAAGGCCACCTATCATATGATTTCATTCATACAAAATTTTCAAAATAGGTAAATCCATACAAACAGAAAGATTAGTGTTTGCCAGGCACTGTGAGGAAGGGTAAATGGGGTGTGGCTGGTAACGTGTGTAAGAGGGTTTCTTTTGAGAGTGATGAATTAGACAGTGGTGATGGCTGCACAACTGTGAATACATTGAAAACACTGAATTGCACAATCTGAAATGGTGAATTTTTTTTTTCTGAGTCGAAGTCTCACTCTGTTGCCCAGGCTGGAATGCAGTGGCATGCTCGTGGCCACCGCAGTCTTGACCTGCTGAGCTCAAGCAATCCTTCCACCTCAGTCTTCCAAGTAACTGGAAATACACCACTACATGCAGCTAATTTTTTGTTTTATTGTAGGCGTGAGGTCTCGCCAAGTTGCCCAGGCTGGTCTCGAGCCCCTGGGCTGAGGTAATCCTCTCGCCTCTATCTCCCAAAGTGCTGGGATTACAGGTGTAAGCAACCATGCCTGGCTTCAAATGTTGAATTGCATGATTTGTAAAACTCGCCCGGTGTAATAGAAAGTAAATTATTTTAAAAAACAGAGCTCAAATTATATATAATCTGAGCTCTGTTTTTAAAATTTACTTTTTAAAATAAATATATATAAAGAAATATGAACTTTGGCTTTATCAATTTATTAATTTTGGTTATCTCTGTGATGACTGCATAATTCCATAGTCATAGATGTTTTGGATTGATCTACAATGACCAATACACTAAACCCTGGCACATTAATTTTACGTATAAGGACATGCCATATGAAATCATAGCTTGTGATTTCTTCGTCACTTTTTGCCCTGCCCCTCCATCCACTATGGATTCTACAGTAATGTCAAAACAGATAAATATGATAGAGACATGGACATATCTACAGTGAATTCCCAGCCAAAAAAAAATCTACTTGATCCATCAAGTTCACTATCTTCACTAATAAACTACCAATTTTGCTTCATTCTGAGGTTGAATCTGGCTACACGATAGCTGATTCTCTATGTTTTCTTATGTCGTGAGACTGTTATAGAAGCAAGTGAGTTAGAACTTAAACCATTTGGTTAACTGGAATTCATTTTTAATATCTTTCACCTACTAATTATTCTTCCAGTTCAACTCACATTCTATCTTATATTTTATTGCATATTTTATATTTGTTATAGATTTTATTATTTTATTTTACTTTATTTTATTTTATTTTAGAAACAGCGTCTTGCTCTGTTGCCTGGAATGTCAGCTGAAGTACAGTGATGCAATTAAAGCTCACTATAACCCTGAACTTCTGGTCTTGAGCAATTCTCTTGCCTCAGTCACCTGAGTAGCTGGGACAACAGGCACATGCCATCACGTAGGGCTAACTTTTTTATTTTTTGTAGAGACGGGGTTTCATTATGTTGCCCAGACTGATCGCAAGTGATTCTCCCACCTCAGCCTCTCGAAGCACTGGATTACAAGTGTGAGATACCACACTCAGTCCAAATATTTTAAGGAATGGAAAGGAAGTGCCTGAAACTTAACAATGGCATATTTTTATGCCCGCCCCCCCCCACTCTCTCAGAAAACGGGAAGCCATAAATTGTCTATCCCTAATATCCTCTATTTATTTATCTAACTGTAAGACTTTACTTGGTTATTCTAGAAAGTTGAATATTAAACTTAACAATCAACCAAGTCTTTATCAAACTAACTGGCAGTCCAAAATTGAATTCAATAAATGTTTTGTGTGCCTACTACATGCTGGACAACAGAGGTACATAGCACCCATTCCCTGCCTTTAGTCAATTTTGTCTAATAGAAGAGAAGTAAGAACATTAAAAAGAGAATAAAAGATATGTCCCCTACACTGACACCACCAATCAGAATACTGAAACTATGGAAAAAAGCTTTGCAAACCTTTTCATGTATACATGTGTTCATACATCCAGATTTTGTTAAAAATTCAATTATATTGCCCTGTAATCCTTTTGATTATTTCTACCACTCCACATCAATTGGTATGCTTCAAAAATCACCTTTTTTAACAAGCTGTATAGTATTCATTGTAAGAATGTGCCAAAATTTGCCTAACCAATACCCTGCTACTAAATGTTCATGCTAAATTTTTAGTGGGGGCGTGAAAAGGGACCAGGAAAACAATGACAGCTAAAATTATTAATGGTTGTAAATTTAGCCAAGATGCTCTCTAAAGCCAGCTAAGGAGTACATGTCCACACACACACACACACACAAACTTACTTTCAGAAAACAAGACTTAATGACAATACTTCCACATAAAACTTCCTGAAGCAAAAAATATAACCTCCCTGCTTGAAAAATACCTAATCCCAATTAATAGACAGTAAAATTGCCAATGTATTACTTAATGCTTTTGGCTTTCAGTTTGGTTAATATGGCCACTAATTCCACCTCTCAATCTTATCATCCACTATTTTCTTTCAAAAGCCCCCAATAAAATCCTAATACAATACTTAGTTCCTTACACAGCATCCAACTTTATACTCTACCATGTATGCTGTTCTCATCTGAAATGCACAAAGAGCCATGATTTATAAACACAGAATCACAGATCTGAAAGGGACCTTACAGATTTTCTGGTCTACTCTCCTTAATTTGCAACTTAAAAATTCCTATCACTTACCCATGAGCCCACAAAACTCCCATTCTACTATTCTTTCCATTACACAGCAATTCTTTTTCCCCTCACTCTCCATTGAAGCTGTCAAAACTTGCCAATGCCAACTATATTTTCAAGTCATTGTGGCAGGGTATGGGGAAGTTCTCAGTTAGCAATAATCACATATCAGGTAACCTCACTGACTGCAAGACTACCACTGTGCAAAGCTCACCGTGATTCTCAAACTCCACTATGCCCAACGACCAAGTTAGTGGTCATTAAAAACACAGATTCACAAGTCCCAACCTCAAAGATTTTGCTCTATTAAAACAGGTTAGGACCCAAACTCATATTTTTTTCAACAAACACTTCAAGTGATTCTAAAGCAAGGTGGTCAAAGCTTCAGATCACAGAAAATCACAGGAAGTAAAGAAGATAAAGCCAATCCCAACAACCAGGGGCAAGAGGATTGCCTGATCGCAGGAGCTCGAAACCAGCCTGAGCAACATGGCAAGACCTCATCTCTACAATAAATTAAAAAAGTAGCCAGGCGAGGCGGTATGCGCCTGTAGTCCCACCTACTTAAAAGGCTGAGGCAGAAGGATCACCTGAGCCCAGCAGGCCCTGGGAAACAAAGTGAGACACTGACTAAAAAAAAAAAAAACACAGAAAGAAACGAAGTCTTCGAGCACTTAGCACATCATCTGAAATTTCCCATTTCCTCCCCCCATTTTAGAATTTCTGAACAACAGTTACTCACTGCTACTTGTGCTGAATCCATAAATCTCAGACCAAAATAGTCACTTTCAATAAGGTCCAGGTGGTACATAATCTGATCGAACAACTCTTGTCCTTTGGCTTTTTTCTGAAATGGCAAGAAAACGAGTAAATCAACAAATGGTTTACAAAATCAACACATCCAGGCCTTGCTAGACTCCGGTGTGGCCATGTGCTCTTTGAGCTATGGCCCCCCTCCTCCACCTTGGGGAGGTGAATCTTCTCTCTCCCTTCTCTTTCTCTCTCTAATTTACTTTTAAATGAACTATATTATTTAATCTAAGAAAAAAGATCCACAAGTCTGAACACAAATTGGTCTCAATAATATAATTTTTCATTTAGAAAGTACTGCTTGCAATACCAAAAGTATTGCCATGTAGCAGATGATGGGTAAGAGTAGTTTTTCAATAACTCATCTAAGGCCAAAAGAGAATTTGTGATCTATTATGTATATTCCTGAAAAGTGTTACTTCCTATCAACCAATAATTACCTATCTTGAGGTACAAATATTTATACCTAACATTGTGTGAGAGAAATTCTTGCTTTGCTTTCTCAATTTTGAGAATCCCTACTTTACAAGAGCCCTGATATAGTTGCCATAATTTAATTAGAAAGAGAAACCCAAGAACACAGAGCACTTAAGTAAAAATCATGTGAAACTAACTACACCTGCAGATAGACTTTAGAGAAGAGATAGTCACAGAGACTAGAATAACCAGTGAAGGCTTGATGGAGAAAAAGTCTTAAACTAGAAGAGAACATAAGATAGGAAATAACAAAACTAGCAGGCAAGAGGGAATATGGGACAGTAAGAAAACTACTGTGACAATGCAGAAGACACCAAACGGTGGGGTAACAGCAAAGAAACTTGTATGGAGAAAGTAACTCTCAGTGTGGTCTCAGAACCACTGAAGGTCCTTCCCAAGACATCTCAAAAGATCCATGAGGTCCTCACACCCCTCAATCAAAACAAATTGCCACACAGTGAATGCAGAAGCAGGTAAGATAATTCAAGTACCTTCCATTAATAAGGATATTAAAGAGATTTGCAAAAGTGCATAAATCATCTTTCTTCTCACTACGTTCTCTCGTTTTGAAAAGTTTTTCTTTTTTTTTTTTACTGAAGGAGTATCATTTATTGAATTAAATAATACAGGCTTCTTTTTTTGTCTGTAACTGATGTACATTTGATTTTTGAAAGATACTGTTCGCATTAGGTCACCACAAAGTAGATTTACATATAGCCATCAACTGAAGAAAAACACAAGAAATTAAGTTTCTATGTGATTCCAACAGAGATACTCTTTCCTTAATTATAAGAAAATCAGATATTTTAGAAAGTAAAACTATTAAGAAGTTTACAAAACACCAAAACACTTTATTTTTAAGAAAAAGGTACAACTTCTCATTTTCTACTCTTGGCATAAATATTAGTTCTTTCCAGTGGAGCCAAAACCTCCTTGCACTCCTTTCAGTGTCATCTAAAACTTGAACTTCTTCTATTTCTGGATAAAAAATCCGTTCACAAATGAGCTGCGTAATTCGGTCTTTGGCTTCAAGCTTTTCCCTGCCAAAATTAAACAGTACAACACCAACATTTTCTCTATCATCGGCACCTATGACACCAGCGCCTACATCTATAAAGTGTCTGGCAGCCAAGCCAGAATGTGGAGCTACTCTTCCATAACACCCAGAAGGAAGAGTTATCCGAAGGTTCAGTTTCACAAGCGCTTTCTCCATCGGTGGTATTGTATAATCACAGGCACTGTACGGGTCATAGCCCCGCGGCCAGAGCAGACCCCTGGGTTGGGGTCGAGACGTGCTCCAAGAGTCGGGCAAAGCAGAGCTGCAAGCCGCCCTCCTTCGCAAGCCTGGGCCGACTGCTGGGGGACATGGCAGGGGTCTCTTCAGAGCAGGGCATGGCCAAGAGAGAAGACGAGCCGAAAAGTCATTTTTCATCAAACATATTATTTATGTTAACACACAAAGAGTATGTCATTGCTGTATTAACCACTAGATAAATATTTTTAAATTGTTCAGCTTTAATTTCTAATATGGTAAACTATCAATAGATAAAACCCACGTAAGCAAAAGCACTGTTGAGACCCTCAATTTTCATAAGACCCCATCCATCTCTCTCCCACCTATAAAACTCTAAAATGTCATTTACAGTACTTCCTATTAAAAAACAAACATATAGTTGGCTTTAATCATATCTTCACCTTTAAACAAATAAGTTTATTATTTCAACTTTTCCCTTGCTTGTTCTATGCTTCTTTTTAAACCCTCTTAGAGAAATAAAATTGTGATCCACCAGGCATGGTGGCTCATGTCTATAATCCCAGCACTTTGGGAGGCTGAGGCAAGAAAACTGCCTGAGCCCAGGGGTTTGAGACCAGCCTGGGCCACTTGGTGAGACCTCATTTCTACAATAAATCAAAAAAAAATCAGCTGGGGGGGGGGTGAATGCCTGTGGTTCCAGCTACTTGGAAGGATGGGGCGAAAGGATCATCTGAGCCCAGCAGGTCAAGGATGCAGTGGCCATGAGCGTGCCACTGCACTCCAGCCTGGGTGACAGAGTGAGACTGACTAAAAAAAAATTGTTATCCATATTTTATTTTATTTTTTAACCTGTACCATGCCCTTGTGTCCTCTGATCTCCACTCAGTCCACATCAAGTTGTATAGACATGCTTCTTCTATATCTTTTCTGTATTCTTAGCTAATTTCTAAAAAGACAATCTTTACTTATTTATCACCCTTTTCATTTACACATTTACATGTGCGCATTACAAGACTTGTACCATTTGTTAGATTTCTTTCTCCACTCACTTGAGTTCTTTCTCCAAAAATATTTCCCATGTGAATCTTTTTATGACTTATTGTCTGCAAAGCCTTCTGTTTGAGAATATTTTAATCATGTCTTCACAAATAACTGACAGCTGACTGGATATAAACTTCAAGATTCTAAGTTACTTTCTTACACTATTTTCTCCAATACTCAAAAAAACATTATTCCATTATCTTCTTGCAATAAATACTGCTATTGAAAACTGTGGTGTCCAACAAGGATACCTGCATATTGAACATTTATACATCTAACCCTGAATTGTACTCCACATCTTTAAAATAAAAAAATTAAAAGTTAAAAAAAAGAACATTGTGATGTCAACCTCGATTTTGTTCCTTTGTAACGTTTTTCACTTTTAAACTTTTCTCTATCTCTCAGAGTCTTTCATTATACTATGTACAGGTATGAAAGTCTTAAATTTCACTATACTATATACCATATGGTATTCTACATGAACCTTTTCAATCTGAGATCTTTCATCACTCTTTAATTCTCGAAAATCACCTCTATTATTTCTTCAAATATTTCTTCTCTATTTTTGTCATTTTAAGTTTCCTACTTAAGAGCTGATACTTTTGTGCATATTTTTGCTTATATAATAACCCTGATGATTATGGCTTACTTATCTATTTAATATATACATAAGGTTAGTTCAGAAAGTAAGATTAAAAAAAAGCACACATATAAAAATGACAAGGCTAGCTGGGCAAGGTGGCTCACGCCTATAATCCCAGCACTTTAAGGGGAAGCTGAGGCCAGAGGATTGCCTCTGAGCGCAGAGGCGAGAGGTCAGACTAGACTGGGCAACCTAGCAAGACCTCGTCTCCACAATAAATCGCAAAAAAAGAAAATCAGCAGGGCATGGTGGTGCATTTCCAGCTACTTACTTGGAAGGCTAAGGCGAGAGGATCGTCTGAGTCCAGCAGGTCAAGGCTGCAGTGGCCGTGAGTGTGCCACTGCACTCTAGCCTGGGCGACAGTCAGACTCCAATTCAAAAACAAAGAAAACTTTTTCATGTGCTTGTTGTCCATTTGTATGTCCTCTTTGGAAAAAAACGTTTAAGTTCTTTGCCCATTTTCTAATTGACTTTTGTTGTAGGAATTATTTATCGATTTTGGATATTAACATCACACACACACGCGCGCGCACACACACACACACACACACACACACACACACACACACACACACACACACAATAACCCTGTGAGTCTTTATATCTGATTTGAAAACATTTTCTCCTATTCTTTTTTTCTTCCCTCTGGGTAGTGTCCTTTAATGCGCAGAAGTTTTTAATTTTGATGAAGTCCAACTTATTGTAATGCCTGTACATCTGTTGTCACATCTAAAAAAAAAAATCATTGCCATATGTAGCTAGCATCATGAAGACTTTTTTCTTAAGTTTTCTTCTCACTTAGGTCTTTGATTCATTTTTGAGTTAATATTTGTTTGTGGTATAAAGTAAGGGTCTGGCTTCATTTTTTCGCATGTGGATATCTAGTATTTTTCAACACCATTTGCTGAAGTCTGTCTTTTCCCCACTGACTAGTCTTGGCACCCCTGTCAAAATCGCTTTAACATATTTGCAGGGGTTTATTTTTAGACTCTTTATTCCACTGGTCTATGTCTGTCTTTATGCCAGCACCACACAGCGTTTTTATCGTTGTTGTTTGTTTTTGTAGTCAGGGTCTCACTCTGTCGCCCAGGCTGGAGTGCAATGGCATGCTCACAGCTACCACAGTCTTGACTTGGTGGGTTCAGGCAATCCTTCTGCCTTAGCCTTCCAAGTAGCTGGAACTACAGGTACTGCCATCAAACCCAGCTAGGTTTTTTAAATTAGCTTTTTTGAAAGAGAAGTAGGAAATTTAGATAAGGAAATATTAGAGGTGGGGAACTTTTTAAGCAGTGCCCTTAAGATTTTATTTTATTGCTTTTTTTTTTTTTTTAGTTGGAGTCTCACTGTCGTGCAGGCTGGAATGCAGTGGCATGCTCATGGCCACCACAGCCTTGAGCTGCTGGGCGTGGGGGGGGCGATCCTTCCGCCTCAGCCTTCCAATTATCTGGAACTACGGGCACCTGCTCTCACACCCGGTCAATTTTTTGTTTGTTTGTTTGTTTTATTTCTTGTAAAGACGAGGTCTCACCATGTTGCCCAGGCTGGTCTCGAACCTCTGGGCTCAGGCAATCCTCTCACCTCGGCCTCCCAAAGTGCTGGGATTACAGGCTTGAACCACCAC